AGGGATGTATAAGGGTTCCTTTAAGGGATCTTCGGCGGATTGCTTTCTATGAGGCTTCAGGGGTGTAAGGTTCAGAGTTTGTTTGGGGCAGGGTTGAGGGTTCTGGTGGTCCTAGGGAGGGGACTTTGTGCTTGGGGATTTTGTAGCTTTAAGGATTGGGCGTCGGGTTTTGGGGCTGAGGGTCCAGGGTAGTTCAGGAGTTGGGAATCTAAACCCTAAACCCTAAACCCTAAACCCTAAACCCCTAGACCCTAAACCCTAAACCCTAAACCCTAAACAAAGCGTGTGGTTTGAAGTTGTCCTGGTTCAGGTGGAGATCTGAGCTTAGGATTTAGGGTTTAGAGTTCTGAGTCTAAGGGCCAGGGTTTAGGATTTAGGGTTTAGGCATTTAGGCTAATGATTTGGGTTTAGGTTTAGGATTAAAGCGATTTAGGGGTTTAATTGTTGGGCTTTTTGATGCTGCGCTCAACCATCCTAGACCCAAACCAAAACCTAATCACGTCAACCCGGCATTCCGAAATTTCAACCTGGGGCTTAGGGTCACCAACGGACCTGCGCACATCAGACACCCAAGTGCGGAGGCCTTCAACGGAGTTCACGCATCACCAAACCTAAACACACTACGTGGGTACTTCTCTAAATTCAGGTCCCTTTGGTGGCACTCTCATAAAAAAGGACCCGAAAAGGGACCCTGGTTTAGGGAACTGCCGACTTGGGATTCCAGGTGAGAGAGTTTAGGGTTTAGGGTTTAGGGTTTAGGGTTTACGGTTTAGGGTTTAGGGCTGAAGAAGCCAGGACACGGACTTCAATCTCCTGTCAGGAGGTGTTTTTGTTCGAAGCTACGGCCCTTCGTGCGGGCTCGAGCTCTCCCTGAACTCTAAAAGAGAACATGTATGTCTAAGAATCCTTCTTGCGATTCCTCATATATGTCATGAGATTGCTTGATAATTTTTCTGTTCTATGAGAAGCATTGCTGCAAGGGTTTTGAGGGATGTTGGGGTGCCATATCATACTATGACTATGTTAAGAACCGCTAACGGGATACCAGATTATCCTTAGAAGCCCAGAATTCGCTTTTATCAGCCTCTGTTGAGGCTTGCTCGACTGAATGAGATCGTCCTACCCTGCTCCACTAAACCTATGCGCACGTTCCATGTTACGGTTTCGGGCTTCAGGCTTAGGATGGCTTCGGGCTTCGCACTTTCTATTTTTTTCCATGGAAAGCCCCGACTGTGGTAGTGACTAGATCGTAGACCCCAAGCCCTGGTCCTCTAGACGGCAGCCGTCCCGATTGAGCCAGAGCTCTATCTGGTAATGGGCTTCCTGAGACTCGGGGTTTTGGGTGCACCCTGGGCCCCAGGCATAGTCTTGAGTTAGGTGGTAATCCACTGGGCTAGTACCCAGTAAGGGTTCTGTAAGGGTAGAGCTTCAGGGGTTTACGGGTTGAGGGTTAAGGGCAAACCCTAAACCCACTAATCAGACTCATAAAACGAAAGAAAGAGCTTCCAAGCTCGAGCCTGTGGCTCGTGGCTTTGGCTTCTGGCGCTTCTCCGTATGAGCTCAGTCAGCTCTAGTGTTTATGATGGCTTATAATAGTTTGGGGATTTGGGTTTAGTAAGGGCTTATGCCCCCAAACCCTAAACCCCAAAACCCTCAACTCTAAACCCGAAACAACACCCCAAATAGCAACAGGACTTCAAGAGTTTATCAAAGTCCGAGGCGCGGGAGGTGGGGTATCAGCTACCAGGGCTTGGCTGAGGGTTTAGAGTTTAGCGTTTAAGGTTTGAGGTTTTGGGTTTAGTGCTTGGGCTTAGAGTTGACTACGGCTTTAGGGTTGAGACGTTACTAGGGTTTAAGGTTTGGGGTTAACAGTGATGTCTGTTTCGGAGCGTCTTTACGAATGGGGAAATCACAATACAACACTCTCTCGTTCTGCCGTAACAGGTCCTGCATTGCTTCTGTTCAGACTGTCGGTGTGAGAGTTTCTCATAAAATCATTCCATAGAGGTGTCTTGCCGCAAGGATCAACACTATCATTTCCGATCCATCTACGTCAAGGGGGAGGGTACTAGGGAACCTTAGCGAACCTTCGGAAACCTTAGGGAACCCTACGGAGCCTTAAGGCCTTCAGGGAGTATTGGGCTTTTGTACCCAGCATGGCATGGGCCCCCCTCCCTTAAAACTCCTAAACCCTAAACCCTAAACCCTAAACCCTAGCTAAACCCTAAAGGGGAGCAACGCTAGGGCATGGACAGTTCCGCGGTCGGCTGCGTCACGACCACAGAGCTGCCACTGCTGAAGAATCTCCTCCTTTTTAGGGTTTAGGGTTTAGGGCTTAGGCTGAATATTGGTGCTCAAAAACGAAAGATGTTGGGTTTGTACCCTGAGCCCTGAACCCTAAACCCCTAAACCCCTGAACCCCTAGACCCAAAATCCTGAACCCTCTAAATATTCCTTTTCGGTTCGTGGTGTTCCAAATGGACCAAATGTCCCTCAAGAAGCAGTATACGAGGACAAAGGTAGGACTGACTTATAGTTAAATGATAGCTGCTTAGCTGAGCCCAGCGAACATAGGGGCCCTAACGGTTGAAATAATAGCTTGGGGGGTCTATCGCACTATAGTTATGAGGAATGAGGAACAGCAGCAAACACTCTCTCTTCACACTTAGTGTCCTTCTCGCTAGCTGCTCTGAGTTCCTTGTGTTGCTGACTCTTTCCTCTTGAAATTCTCCTGCAAAGGACTCTAGGGCTTAGGGTCTAGGGTTCTGCCGTCGATCCGTCGTTGTCCGTTTGGTTTGCACGCTTCGATTTTGGATGGGTCCGCGGTGTACGGTTGAGCTTGGCGCTTGAGGGCTTACGGGCTTTTCCGGGTAGGTATCTCGAGAACCTTCACTTTCGCCGGTTTGTGATTCATACACAAAGCATGAATGGCGAAGTCTCCGAATGGCGAAGTCTCCGCCGGCTTTCGCGCCAGAACAACCTACTTCCATAAAACCCTACACACTAAACCCAATGAGAAACGTAGTAAGAAGAAGAAGCTCTCCCAGAACAAAAAGCAAGAGATACTACCCCGAAACAAAACAAGTACATAAAAAGAATGAAAATTTTAAAAAGGAAAGCCCAAACCCCAAACCCCTAAACCCCCAAAGCCCTAAACCCTAAACCCGAAACCCCAAACCCCTAAACCCTGAACCCCTAAGCCACCACGCCTCTGACAGCTCCCTCTCGTAGGTCCAGAGCTGCTGATCAGGCCCTGGGCTCAGGAGGTTTTAGGGTTCAGGGCTTTAGGGTTTGGGGTTGAGGGTTTAGGGCTTTAGGGTTTAGGGTTTAGGGCTTAGGGTTGGTTTTGGGATTTGGGTGTATACAGGGCTTTGGGGAGTGAGGGCTTTAATTTCTAGGGCCCTTTTGGGGTTGAGGGCTTAAGCGTTTACGGCTTTAGGGCTCAAACAACTTTGGGATGGCTGGAAGGATGCTGATCGGTCTCAACTTGCCTGGTTGGGACGACGGCTTCTCCGGTTTCGGCAAATACCTTATGCCCTAAACCCTAAACCCTAAACCCTGCCTTATGCCGCGCCGCCGTTAACTCAAACCAGCCTGCTTGCAAGACTTGATTTCGCCTCTGCCAGAGGACCGGAACAAGGGATCGGCTTCCCGAGAATGGCTGGTGCCTGGCTACTGCACAGGTTGGCCAAGGCACTCTCCAAGTTGGCGACGATGGCGAAGTCGGAATGAAACAACGGGGAGGCAAGGAGTTTGGGGGCTTAACATTGCAGACACCGAAAGCCCTGACGCAGGAGTTGACGGTTTAGGGCTTTGTTTTGTCATTTACCTTAGAATGGTGCTTCGGGGGCATGGAGTGCGCAGGAGGTTTAGAATTTAGGGTTGAGGGCCTTGGGTTGAGAGCGTTTTTACGAAAACCATGGCAAAAGCCAGCAACCCTGTGCCCCAAACCCCTAAAGCCCTTGAACATGAAACCCTAAAACCCCCAAGCCCATGACCACTGAAGCATGAATCCCATGAAGCCCTGTAACCCTGAAGCCCCTACACCCTAGACTCGGAACCCTCGTAAAACCCTACGGAAGCCTTATTGAAGCTTCCCCCGCTCGCTTGGCCCTTGAAAGCCTCTGAGCAATAATCGAAAATAAGATCCTCTTCGGCCCCATAAGGTGAAATATGTGCCTAACCCCTAAACGCTAAACCCCAACCCTCAAACTCTAAATGCTGATGAACCCCTGAATCCTAAACCCTTGAACCCTAAAACCCTAAACCCTAAACCCTGAACCCCAAACCCTTGAACCCTTGGAAAGAGGAAGGCTGCCTATGGTCATAGGTGGACCAGGGCCGAAGGTCATGCACGCCCGGTTCAGAAGCTCCTCCTGGCAACCGGATCTGGTGCCTTATGGGCTTCAGGGGTTTAGGGTTTAGGGTCTAGGGTTGAGGGTTTGGGTTTTTTTTGGGGGGGCTTTGGGTTTAGGGTTTTGGGCTTTATGTTTAGAGTGTAGGGTTTGGGTTCAGGTTCCACCAAGAAGACTTTGAGTTCAGGGTTCGATCCCCATGGGGTAACCCCTAAACCCGACCCCCTGAGCCCTAAGTGCCTGTGCGTTTCTCTGGGACTGACCATGAGTTTGAAATAGACTCAGGTTGGGGCTTTAGGGCTTTAGGGCTTTAGGGCTTCAGGGCTTTTAGGGCTTTTAGGGCTTTTAGGCCTTTAGGGATTTAGGGTTCAAGGCTTAGAGTTTAGGGTTTAGAGCTTTAGGGGTTCGGGGCTTAGGGCTAGGGTTTCAGGGTTAAGTACAGGTTCCGAGTTGAGCCAGCGCCAAAATTCCAGACTCGGCGGTCAGGCTTCGGGTTCTAGGCATAACTGGGTTCGCGGCTGGGTTTTGGGTCGTAAGGGGTTTAGGGTTTAGCGTCATCAAGCAAGAAAGCTATACACCGCCTTTTCGTCAAACTACTGCCAACATCCCTTCGCAATGCTCCTACCAAGCATCTGCACTACACAAAACATAGACTCATCGGTCCGGAAGCTTTTAGCAGTCTAAACCCTAAACCCTAAACCCTAAACCCTAAACCCTAAACCCTAAACCCTAAACCCTAAACCCCAAACCCCAAACCCTAAACCCAAACTCTAGACTGATCTGCCATACACCCGCTACACCCGGGGCAGGCTTTCTACCACGGCCTGGAGAGCCAGCTGCCAGCGTGCAATGTCCGCACCTCAGGCAAGCACACGGGAGTTTTAGAAAATACAAGACCCTTAAACAGGCTCCTTGTTATGAGGACCCTCAAAAAGGCTCCTTGTTATGAGGACCCTTAAAAAGGCTCCTTGTTTTGAGGATCCCCAAAATATGGTATCCCTAATTTTCTAGAACTTGAATGACTTGGGGCGCGGGAGAGCAAGGTCAGTATGCCTGATCGAAGTTCTAAAAAGAGTCCGAAGAGGCATCCGGCATTTTCGGGAATCCCGTGTCGCGGTGCTGGAACTAAATGTACAGCCTGTCGGCCCTGACACCCACAATTCAAAATCGAGAACGCAAGTCATGTCCCCCTTCCCCCCCCAACGTAAGCAAAGCCACCGCACTGGAGAAACAGCGCCGCGACCTGCCGAGGTTTTGGGCCTAAGATGAAGAATTTTGGACCTTGTCGTGCTAAGTTGTAGGGTTTGGGGCCTTCAAATTCAGGATGTAACAATTAAGGCTTCAGCGTTCTATAGTCGTACTCCCTGAAAAACTAACGATAAGACTCAGGGGTGCTGGGGCCGGTCTCATGGTAGCCTACGGTCCATGCTTCATCCTCTGAAACCACCTGCGGCCCCGAGCACAGTTCATCAAATTGATTAGTCGGGGTCGGCCCGAAGGCTGCACATTCTTCTCTCCTGGTTCAGGGTTTAGGGTTTAGGATTCAAGATTTAGGGCTGGGGCGGGGACGGACTGCTACTGCTGCTACTACTACTACTACTACTACTACTACTACTACTAAGTACTACTATTACCATTACTACTACCTACCAGACTAACAAACCACAAGAGGTTAGCCTGCTCAGAAGGCATCGCCGCGCGGGTTCGCTGTGAAGCCCTGGCAGTGGGTCGGCTGAGGGTTTAGGGTTTATTATTTGGGGTTTATGGTTTAGGGTCTAGGGTTTAGGGTTCAGGGTTTAGGGTTTAGGGTTTAGGGCTTAGGGTGTAGGGCTTCGGATTAGGGTTTGGGGTTTAGGGTTTAGGGTTTGGGTTGGTGGTAGACCGCTTAGGGCTAGGTCCTGGTGAGGGAAGGTTCTTGCAGGGTCTTGATGGGGCTCTGCCGTCACGAACAGGGGTGTAGCACCTGCACCGAGCAGTATCACCCTTATCTCTGCAACTGTCGTGATCATCCAAACAGAATGCTGGAAAGATCTAAATCATCCCACACCTCCAGCGCCAACCCTTAAACTCGAGACTCTGGTCCACATGCCTTGCAACCTCAAAACCGGAACCTGTACAAAATGCAGTCCTCAAGAAACTCACAACAGCTTCATGGAAAATCACTGTACAAAGAACCCTTGAGCGACGATCCTTGCTCAGCTCAGCAACGCCATGCAGCGGGGTACCGTAATGACTACACCCTCACCCTGATCAACCCTAAACTCTCGGCGCCCTAAATCCTAAACCCTAAGCACTCAAGTCCAGGATAGATAGAAATTGTTTGTCCTAACGTGCATGGCCATATAGATGCCTGCATCATTGCTCTGTTTTCGATGCTTGACGGACAGAATAGAAGCACAAACACGAAAATTCCAGACTACTAAACTGAAGTGAAAATTACATGACGGGTTCCGGAAAGGTTCAAGTAAATTGAATAGGCAAAACTGACGGGCCAAGCAAAAAGAAAAACCCGGCCAAAACCGCACAAAACTCCACAAAACCTGAACCCTAAACAGTTTCCATAAACCCGCATATCCCCACCAAACCCGAATCCCGAACCTTGAATCCCAAAACCCTCGACCCTAATCCCCTACGTACACCCCCAGTCTAAACCCCAAGCCCTGATCCGCGGTCCCGAATCCAGGAGCCTTGATAGTTAGACTAGGGATTTTAGGTTTCATGGTGCTGTGCTTAAAAAGGGGATTAGGCCCTAAACCCTAAACCCTAAACCCTAAACCCTAAACCGTCTAGGGTTTAGGGTTTAGGGTTAGACTTAGACTGTACTTACAATAGGAACCCCAAAGTCGTGTTAATCTTATCGGTAAATCTTTAGGGTTTAGGGTTTAGGGTTTAGGGTTTAGGGTTTAGGGTTTAGGATCAAGAACCGGAGCCCAGATCCGATCCGGGCCTTTCCCCCAGTAGCAGCCCAAATGGACCCGGCCTTCCATCGCCGAGGTCGGGGACAGGGTGACCCTAAACCCCTAAACCCCT